TGTCAAAATTACCTCACCAGAGAGCATGGACAAAGCACCCGTCACCTGACACAATGTACCACCTCTCCACTGCACGTCATGCTCGAAATACTCTCCCTGCCAGCGAGTGTCCTGTACAGCTAAAATAATGAGGTAGACACCCATAAGAAAGTCGGCCACTGCCAAGTTTTTTAAAAGAAAGGACTGAACTTTGCTGTCTTCGCCATACAAAAGCCTCCAGAAAATCACCGACAGATTGCCGACTAACGCTACAATGCTAAGAATCCAAAGGCAGAACCTAATGATTGGGTTCTTCATCATATCCTCGCAACTGGAAAACTCGTTTTGAGGAGAAACACACATCAAGCCCTCTGTAGCTTTTTTAGCATAACAGCAGACAATGAAGCTGTCCAATGATCTAGTGAAAAAAAAGAAATAATTGGCATATTGGAAGGATCGGCAACGTCACTATAGTTCGGATTATATTTCAAATTCACCCTCAGTTCATTTGCGTGTTGGAGACTCACGAAAAGAGACGAAAAAATCTCTTCCAGTTACATTGAAGCTTTTCACACAGTGTGGGAAGAAATATGTCCTTAGCACTGGTGAAGATGGCGTGACATGTCAAATAATCATTGATTGATGAATTTTAATGCCTCGTGTGCAAAGGACCTGGTCACTTTAGCATACTTACAAAATCCTCAGTTTCACCAGACCCTCGAAGATATCTGTCGCAATTTCACTTTCAAGAATGCCATTTTCGTGAAGACGACTGTGAAAGTATTACATACTTCAGTAACATACTAAAATATATAATTATGAGCAGATGGCATAAGATCTATTTTGCCATTTTTGTCGTTCTCGAAAATCCATGGCGCAGTCATTTTCTAAAACTTTTTATACTATCGAGCCATGTCATAAATGAGAAAGGAAGAAGCACTTTATCGACCAAGATTNCCAAGCGCAAAACCACTTTTTTAAAATGAGTTATATTTAAAAGACAATTAAAATCATCTCCATGTCACACGCTTCGCTTTTGCCCTCGTTTAAAAGCAAAAACTTTAACTATCAATGATCTTAAAACGTCAGAACTTGCAATTTGAGCGAACCGTATCTTTTTTTGAGTTAGTAAAATGAAAAAAAGAAAATGAAGAATTGTATCGTGGAGTCCAGGTCTGACGTCTTATAGGGGATTTTGATTCATCTACGTTCGTAGTAAACGCTACACATCCTTTATTATTGTGTATAGTAGCTCTTCTCAAATGTAATACCTGTTTCTAATCTACAGATATTTTTTTCAGCCTTCTGGATAATTTTGTTTCCTGCTTTATCAATGAAGAGGTAGATACAAGCAATACCGTCGATTCTTATCCAGTTTGGGTGCTTCGTTTGCGACCATACGGTTCTTCGCTTTCGTAGTGGTAAACACAGAAGGATACGCTTTCATAAAAATGAATAAACTTGAGACTCGTACAGGTCCCAAACGCGAAATTCAATGTCTCAGAATCATAGAAATTTTTGCAGTTGTCTCAGATATGTTTTTGTGCGATAATACTCGGACGCTGCACTGTCGTAGATGCTTTTGTGAGTCTAAATAAAAGCGGAGACATTCCACCCGTTAAATATTTACTTTACCCTGTGCGGCACTTTTCATAATCCAACTTAGCTTCTTGACAGAAGTGACATGCGAATAAATTATTTAAACACCACAAGAAATTAAATAAATAAAATCTACATTTTTCATTTTTCCTCCATACTTTTGATAATATTTTACTTATCTATTTATCTATTATTAACCTGTTTTGCTTCCTTCAAAAACTTAAAAGGCCGACAAATGTTCAGATTTTGTGATGAGTCTCAGATCATGCATAACTAAGCTTTATATTTAAAGGAGTGACTAAAAATCAAGGATGGTGCTGCACCGCTGAGGGGTATTACAAGACAAATGGGTTGTATCATGGAGCAATTACGCTCGAAACATCAGTAGGAGGCGATTTATATTACGGAATAATTTGATAGAACCAATTATCTAAGCCTTATTTCGTCAATCGTGTGCCAATTGTGTATATTTTCGTTTCCACGCGAACACGCCGCTCATTAGCAGATGTCCTTTGACTGCTGACAAATGATGGTAACTGTTTTAAGCCTTTGCTGTACTTACTGAAGATAAAACAAACACAAGGATTTACCGCGCTCCATGAATGTACCATAAAAGCAACCAAAAATGGAACAACCGTTCGAAATGCGCAAATCGGAGGCAATCGCCAATCCCATAGGAAAATTTGAGCGAAAAGATAAACGAGAAGTGGAATCGAACAAACACTGAAAGCGACTATTATAGCCACCGACATTCGGACAATTTTTTTGTGTTGTTCATCCCGAGATTTGTGTCGAAAACCCAGTTGCTGTTTATGTTTCCTGTTGTTTCTTCTGAGCTTCCATGCTATCGTGCCATACACCATAGCAAAGACTCCAATAGGAACGAGGATGAAAATGATGAAAGTCGCCGTGACAAATCTCTTATGTGTTTTCTTGTGGTCAAATGCCGGTCCCCAGTCAAGTCTACAAAGAGTTTCATTACCCTCTGGAGTAAGTTTGTACGCATAGAAATAAGGTGCGTGAACCACAGTGGCGACAATCCAGGTCCATAAAACGCCAACAAGGCGCACTTTTGAAGAGATGAGCTTAGCTTTAAGTGGGAAAACGACAGCAATGAACCTGTCTACCGATATCAACAGAAGGCTTTCAATGGAAACGACCAGTGACACATCAATAAGAAAGTACGAAAGTTTGCATAATAGGTTTCCCAGCAGCCACGGTCTGACAACCTTCCAGGATCCTGATGCTGAGATGATCTGAGCAAGTTTGATGGGCATGATAGTAAATGAGTTTAATAAATCCGACACAGCCATGTTCAAAACGAGATAGTGGATTGACTTTCGGGATTGCTCGTTCTTTGCAATGGACAGGATCAGGATTGAATTTCCAACCAAAGAGACAACGAGGATGATAGCATAAGCCGAGGCCTTGGCCACCATTTCTACAGAAGATTCACTCGTAGGACAAGTTGGATTAGTAATGTTTGAAGCGACATACCTTGGATATGAAATGTTCTTGACGAAGGACTCCATAGCAGAAAATTTGCTGAACCTGTTCGTTGTTCAAGTTGGTTTTCCGACATCTATTGATCAATGTTGCCTCTTCGACATTTTCAGAAACTGAGCTCGATTGGTTAAATTATCAGATGATATTTACTGAATACTTTCATTACCCAATCGTCCACGAG